GATCCCAATGCCCCAGTGCAGTGACGGGGTAGCCCTTCCTGCAGTCTGTGTGGATCCCAATGCCCCAGTGCAGTGACGGGGTAGCCCTTCCTGCAGTCTGTGTGGATCCCAATGCCCCAGTGCAGTGACGGGGTAGCCCTTCCTGCAGTCTGTGTGGATCCCAATGCCCCAGTGCAGTGATGGGGACACTGTGCTGTAAAAATGGTTCCACCCTTTCGATGAGACATAAAACCAAAGGCCTGACTGTCGGAGGTCATAAAAGATCCCTGGGCATCTTTCGAAAGAGTAGGATTCGAACCCCGATGTCCGGGCTAAAATTGCCCACTGTGGCCCTATCAGATCTGCCCTCCTAATCATCCCTTATATGTAACTTCTCTCTCTTGCCCCTTCACCACCTTAGCTACTGTGTGGTGAGCGTACTGGTGCAGAATGGCTGCCATTGCATCACCCAGGTGGGGGCTGCACAGTGGTGGTGAGTGAAGTGGCTCCCTGTTGGTTCTGGAAAGTGCTTTGGGTGTCTTGAAAAAGTGCTATATAAATGCAACTTTCATTCAGGGTGAACAGCACCTATACCTCTAAAATCGCATCCTCTCCCCTTTCAGAGATGATGATTTTGCTCAGGTGCTTAAAACTAGAGCATCAGGCAGAGAACATTAAGCGACGTGCTTGTAAGGCTTGCGCACTGTCACAGGGGTCACTGGCAGCAAGTCGGGACAGGTGATCAAGCAGATCAGACACTTGCCGACTCAAATTACCCCGACCTTGCAGCTTCTGCATTGATCTGAATAAATTTCAAAACCAAAAAAAAAAAACCTAATGGAGAACAGGAAGGTTTCCAAAAGATGGACGTTTGATTTTCCATGGCTCTCTTTTCTGAAGATGAAGGTCTGCATTGCGAAACACTTTTATCTTTTGCATGCATCAACCCTGCGCAGACATCTTCAGGCTTGAAAAGAAAGTTCTGCAGATAGTACATGCTATAGCCAAACAAATGTCACTATTTTTGAAGGCCCACTTACATGCAAGGTATTGGGGTAGAGCTGAACACCTCAATGGCAGACTGACAGCAGAGGTACCCTGCCGAAGGGACACTGGTAACGTCAATGCACACCATCCCCCAGGACACAGATGGGCACCAGGTGCAGATATCATTACAGGTTGAAGAACAGAAGAACAACTATTCTGGAGACATATTGGCTGACTTCTTGTCAAGGTGCATCACTTTCAAAAGGGAAAATCTGAAGGCTTAGATACAATAATATTGTCCATATTGAACTTCTTGACCTAGGGACATGGTCCATTCACACCTTCTCCCTTATCTAGATGCAAATTGTGCCTCAGCAGCCAAATGTGGAGACTCTCCAAGTGATTTAGAAATTCCGACTTAAAAGAGATTTTCTGTGACAGCGCTTCCATCACAAGGATGGCCTGCGGCCCGGGCCGCCGCCCTTGGTCAGCGACGGCCTGTCGCCCAGCAGCTGTGCTGCTCTGTTGATGTATTTCAGCCCCAAGTTTGAGGAACTTCCTCTGTCTCTTTGCATTTCCATTAATCTGAGCCTCAGTGGCGCTTTCTTGCGGTGAAAAATTGCATCGTCACTGCTATACAGGGCTTGCAGAGACTCATTAGGAAAGAAAAATCAGATCTTCGCTCGGCTAAGATGCTGAGGCTAAAACTAAATGCAGCTGAAGGACAGATGGCTGAATGTGTACTTACATCTCTAATGAAAGACCCCTGGACCACACTAAAATATGAAATGACTATTGTGCCATCATATGTCATGCTGCCCCAGCGTATCTCTTTAGATACCCAACATACTGAGCAATAATGTCCCAAATCTGTAAGAAGCTGCACATTGTTAATGTGAAAGACTTCTCATTTTCATCTTATGGTTAAACCATAACTGTTTTTTTTTATTGCATCAAAACCAAGACAACCTTGGGTTGAGCATTACTGGTGGGTGGGGGGGGGTTGGGGTTGGGGATTGAGATCTCCACCCATTTACGGGAGTTCCAGGGTATTGTATCCCCCACCCCAATAATTTACGCCCATGATCAAACCTAATCTCTGGAAACCACAATGTCACTGAGTGCCGGAGTTCATCCACACTGATGATTAGCAGCCAACCTAAAGCAGTGTGTACGCCTGACAGTGACCGAGGACTGTCACCAGGGAACAGACTGCAAACCATACAAGCTAGTGACCATTTAATTCACTTTCAGTCGACAGCTATACTAAATACCAGTTAATTGTCCTTTTGAGTTCATTCAGACATGCCCGTGAACCTGTGAACAGCACCTCCGCAATGCAAGCCACTTTTCAAAAGGCTAAGTGACGACAAGACCGCCTCATTTAAGACGAGATGTATGTTCTTGCTGGAATCAACAGCTGAGCACACTACAAAAGCACATTAAAAATGATAAAGCAAATGGTACCAAACAAGCGAAACTGAATTACGCCTCACTGGTAATACTCACTAGTAATACTCACTGGTAATTAGTATTCTTTACGTTTCAACATGTTTTTAAAATAATGGGCCAGTTTCCTGCGACACGCTGGTTTGTTATTAATGTGACCTTCAAGAGCTTACATGTGGATGCGACAAGAGATATCTTCATGCAAATTTAGAAAATGAAACAAAACACCAGGTTCATAATTAATTGATTAGTGTTCACACATCAATACAAGCGATACTTTTAAAAAATAATAATATAAAAGCACCGTAATTGCATTAAATATATATTTTGACAAGTATACTTACATAAAGTATAATAACGCAAAGCACAACTTCTAAATCTATGAATACACATGCGCCCATATTCACGATGCATTCCTACAGCGTTTAAACTGTAATGTGCGTTTTGTTAAACAGTAGCTCTGATACGTGTGTTGAACACTATGCAGCAGACCCCGAAACGCCGTCCTTTTTCAGACCCTTTTTGCTCAAAGATTTCAGCCACTTTGTGTTTACCGCGACCGCACCGTCACTCAGAGCGTCTTTATTGCAATTTCCTTATTGCATATCCATGTTAACGGGCACCAATTAAATCTGTGCAATTCAGATTTGTCACTGTCGAGGGAAACAGGTCCAGGCGGATTTTAAAAAGCAAAAGACGAAATCCTGGCTTCAGCATATTTTGGCAATCCATTATTTTCTATGCAAAGTCTGAGTACATGACAATAATCAGACACCGAAATCAGAGGGACAGTGCAGCTACTCACCAGTCCCGCCTGTTTCCGAGCCTGCTGAAGTTCTTTTATGAAGTTCTGCAGTTCTTTTCCTTCGATATATCCATTACCTGCAAGAATTCATATAAGATCTAAAATCAAAGCACAAACTAAAGTCAAGTTAACATCACGTAACATTTACAGACAACATCTGTCTTACGAGGGTGGGTCGTCTGCAAGAATCTATTTATAGCGTGATATATTCAGGGGGGAAGAAGAAATTAATTCTTTATTAATCATTTCATCAATCTTCAATAACCAGACTTGAATTTCTTGCATTGTATCATAATTTTTCTTTCATTTTTCGAAATATATGTAAATAATTGTATTTTTTTTCATTGTACTTGTGTCCGCCACACTGCTGTCACAAATAAATTGATTTATGAATTTATAAACGAATAAGACAAAACCGATATCTTAAACACCACAGCCCCAGAACAAACAACTTTTTCTCTTCCAAGAAAAAACAAATCAATTAATTATTTAACTTTTGTAACGCCCCACAAGAAACAGTAATATGAAGAAAATGTATTCCAATACTGAGTAATTAGCCCATTATTTTTATGACCTTATAAGTCAATATTTCCGCAGTTCAACAAAATGTTGAGTGTAGTTACCGTCATTGTCGTAATGGTGAAAGATATCCAGAAACTGAGAGGCTGAGATTTCGACTCCCTGCAGGTAAGCTTTTGCCATCTTGTCGGCTTGTGGAGCACGTCGCCCTATGCCGCACTGCCCAGTACTGCGCTCCGATCGGCGACTCCCGGTATTTAAGGATCGCCCTTCACGGAGTCCCGCCTCTTGTGCCCGAGCCAAAAGCGCAGCTCACCACGGTAGGCGAACCGCTGCAGGTAGCACACCCGCGTAAAAGCGCGTCGGAGCTCTGAGGAGGTACGTGGAAGCGCATGCAAATGAACATCGCGGCTCCTCGGGTATGTTTGACTGCAGGGGACTCAATCATCGAAATGCGGTACTTACAGGGACAGTATGAATATAATACAGGTCATATTAAACTCTCATCCCGACTAAACCAATATTTCCTAGTTAATCTCTAATTACTTTCTTTCGCTTCCATATAATGGTGAAAGTGTCTAAACTAAATCTGATGGAGCTCCAATTTTTGTTCCACGTCTCCAAACGTGAGGTCCGAGGGTTATGCCTCGCACATATGCCTGACAGCATCTATAATATTAATAATTACTGTAATGCAATTATACAGGTATCTTGGTATACTTTCTACAATTCTTTCACTCAGCGTAATACAAATGGATTGCAGAACATCTTTAAAGTTTTCCTTCTGTAGTTAAGGTAATTGCTTCTCTAGTCAGTCATATTCAAAATCATATTCTGATCTACAACCCGCAAGCAAAGAGACAAGAAAAGCAGTCTTCTGAAGCACCTTGAAAAGAATGATAAGCTTTCACTTATGAAAGATAATATTTGTAATTATGGAACCGTACAGTGTCCAGCAAACTGCATCAAGGCTATGGAGGACATGCTGGGATCTGCACCACCTGGACTGCAGGCATGGTACTACAGTCTACATCATTTAATGCTTAGGTGAGTACTAGTTTATCATCAGACGTCTTTCTAAGACCCTGTGGCCCGCTGGGTGTGCGCTCAACAGTAATAATTAGAATAAAAAACTGTCTGAAGATTATGTAAAAGCAAAGTCGGCAAAACAGAGGGAAAGAGGAGGTGAAACTTTAATTGCTGGGGTCCCCTCTGGCTGGTTTGATGACCTTGAGTGGTTCGGGTACTTTGGGTTCCCATTCCTAACAGACTCAAAACGTTCACACTCATTCCGAATGCCATCTTCACCTCTCCTTTTATACGGTAAAGCACATGAGGCAGGTTAGGACACTGAGGCAACGCAGGTGAGGCAGGTTAGGGCACTGAGGCAAAGCACGTGAGGCAGGTTAGGGCACTGAGGCATAGCACGTGCGGCAGGTTAGGGCACTGAGGCAAAGCACGTGAGCTGGGTTAGGGCACTGAGCCAAAGCACGTGAGGCAGGTTAGGGCACTGAGGCAAAGCACGTCAGGCGAGTTAGGGTACTGAGGCAAAGCAAGTGAGCTGGGTTAGGGCACTGAGGCAAAGCACGTGAGGCAGGTTAGGGCACTGAGGCAAAGCACGTCAGGCGAGTTGGGGCACTGAGGCAAAGCATGTCAGGCAAGTTAGGGTACTGAGGCAAAGCACGTGAGCTGGGTTAGGGCACTGAGGCAAAGCACTTGAGGCGGGTTAGGGCACTGAGGCAAAGCATGTGAGGCGGGTTAGGGCATTTGAGGCAAAGCATGTGAGGCGGGTTAGGGCATTTGAGGCAAAGCCTGCATGTTTTCTAGTCACCACTGCAAAGACACAAATGAAATGCCCAGCAACCAATAAGAAACGTGTAGTGGCTTTGGGAAATGCTGTGCTCAAGGGGAACCCAGCACAGACAAGCCATTAAATTATGGTGATGTTTATGATAACTGTACTGCAGCATTTTACCTTGCTGTCATTGCTAATCCCCTAGCATCTGAAAAACGAGTATTTACACACCATTACTTCTGGCAAAACAGTGTCACATTATGTATGCTGGTGAGACAGAGAGAAAACAAAGATAATAAATTATGGACAATTAATTAGTAATAATTGGTGTTGCTTCACATCACCCCACAATGCATTACTCGGTCTTCCCTTCTTACACAGCATTTTTGTGGTGGTTCTTTTTTGCAGGTTCATGATGAGCTGTGGAGTCTTCACTGTTTCCCACACAGGCTGAGTGGACCAGGGTGTGTATCTCAAGTAACTGACAAGGTTAAAAAATTGCATCCTTTTCATTTTTAATTCTCCCTTTTAACTCATGGGTCATTATGTGCACTAAAATTATGAATTATGTGCACTAAAATAACCACAGAATATTTTCTCAGTTGCTGGTCCTGTGCCAATGCTTATTTTCAATTCCTGTCACTCTTAAGAAATTATACATATTGTGAAGGAAATGGCACAGCGTAGACTTGGAGAGCTTAGGTTAAACATGTTTATTGCCTTTCACAACCGGAGTCGGAAATAGAGTGCTATGTACTCGGCTGCCCACTCACAATGCCAGGTCTAAGAGCTTTGGTTAGTACTCCACAGGAAACAGGTAAACAATGGGATTTGGGGCTGCTGATTGGATGAGCAGCTCCAGGAATATGTGCACAAACAGCAGACTGAAGTGCAGAAGAAAACCAGGAACAGGAACCAGGAACAGGAGCTTGGAAGCGCAGCTGAAATACAACAACAAAATAACCACAACAAAGCTAACAGCAAAATACCAGCTGCCCAGTACAAGTGTCTGTGGAACTCTGGGAAATCAAGACCAAGAATGCGATAGAAAACGGCGGTTCCAAAGGACTATGATACTCGAGACAAGACATCAGCCGACCCGTAGCCAGGGAGACTGCCAGCAGCCCTGCCTGCAATCCTAAAATAAAACACAAACAGAACAAGCCCAGCCCCACAAATGCAGAAACCGGACTCCAAACCAAACCGAGCTCTGAGCCGTACGCTTGCAGAACATCGATGACAGCTGAGCAGCCATTAAGGCCCAGAGCTCAGTCTAACCCGGATTCCAAGCCAGCTACCTCTGGCTCAGAGGTTCACAATGAAGCTTCACAATGAAAGTGTATTCGATAAAATTCAGAATATGTTGAAAAACGGGGCTCATTGCTAAGGTAACTTCATAAAGACTAATTTTATGGGTTTTAGAAATCTGGCCACAATGTCTTTCATTCTCTTTCCAGTCTTTTCCTTAATTGTACTAAAGTTCAAGCGACATGGAGACTCACAGCACCAAGCTTATAAGTTTGAAACCCACCTTCAGTCTATGCTTGTGAAGTTCAGACGTTCTTTCTGATCAGTGTCTGAAGATTGACCTCTGTTGGACTGGCATCATGTCCATGATGCACCTCAGTCTCATGCCCTTTGCCTGGGATGGGCTCCAGGCTGCCCGTGACCCGGACTTGGATAAGCTGTTGGAAGATAGATGCAAGTAGCACTGTTGTCTCACACTGCTGTTCAGGGTGTAAATCATGCCACTGCAGGTGTATTTGATTTGCATGTTCTCTCCTTGTGCAGTTTTCCTCCTGTATGTCAAAAGTAATGTACTTGGACAAATTGGAACAGGTACACTTGGTTTAGACAATCTGGGTGGGAGGTCAGCTAGGATTCCATTGCAGAAAATACCTGCTATCTACTCTGTTTCTAATCCTCAATGTTTCATCTGTCCGCAGATGATAATAAACACGGCACCCTCGCGGCTAATGACTGCTGGTTTTATTGGTCACGGAAGACTGGAGAACTGAGACAGACCAGCATGTAAAGTGGGTGGTCCCTGAGAAAGGCAGTCAGGTCCAGACAAACTCAATGCTAAGAGCAATAAGCTTAAATTAAAGCCACAATCATCACAGGCTTAGTTGGACCTCCAGCACGGTCCCACTGGGACTGTCACTGGCATTCACAAGATTCCTTCTGCGCTTCATAACTGCCAAGCGGGTTGTGTGATCAGAAGATTTCCACATTGCCACCCTGCATGGAGCTCTGCTGTTGTACCCTAAAACAGGGTGTTTAGCAAGAGGTTCGATTGTAAAATATACAGCCGATAAAATGGGGATTAAGGAATCAGTGAAGCGAAGAAAGAGTGCAGAGAGAAAATAATACATTAATGAAGGCTGGGTTACACAGCAGTGCAATGTCACTGGATTAATCGGGAATGAAGTCAAATGGCCAAACAGCGTAAAAGCAAGTCTACCTGCTAGCTGGAATGAAGTCATTATTTCAGATCAATCCCCCCTAAACGTCCCTTGTTTCACCGTTCACTGTAGCGATAGCGCTCTGGCTAACAAACTGCTACCAAACGATGACGCTTTTCTACACCGGACGGAGTGGCACAGAGCCATCGTCTTTCTCCTTTTCGTCACCCCATTTCTCAGGTTTGCCCACTTTTCTTTGTCAGTTCAGAATAAGGGGCCTGCGGCTGGAACATGTCTAGCATCGTACTTAGTGACTCCTGTTCTCCCCCCTTCTGCTTTTGTTCTGAAGTATGAGTCTGCGAGGCCACAGGTTCAGGACAGCAGCAGCAGGTCACGTTAGGATCACGCTGTACTGGTGAATTCTTGTGCGGAAGACTCTCATTATATCAATGCTTTGCCAAATGGGGCTTAAAATGGACCCCTCTCAGACAGGACATTATTCCTGAACCTTGTGTGCAATAATGTGAAAAATCTCTTTCCTCTTGTTCTGTTTTCACAGAGAAGAGCGGGAGGCATTGCGATGAAATATGTCTGCAGCCTGTGGTCCCGCAGAGGACTCCAGAAACAACAAAGCGAGCGGCGGCCGAGGCTCGGAAGTATCGCTCACTTTTCAGAAGCCCCTCGGATTTCGTTTTCTTTTTATTCTCTGTGGAAAATGTCATCCGCAGACAGATATCTTCAGCCAAGCATTTAGTGAACGGCTTGTTAGAATGATCTATATCAGAAAATTTTAGAGATGCGATTCATAACAAAACAAGACAGTAGAGGAATGCTTAACCGCTTGGAAACACAGGTCGTGTTTATTATGGTATGTATGTTACTATGTCTGTCGCATCCTGTTGTGTCTGAGGCAGGTTGGGCTTTGACAGACAGCCACAGGAAACCTACGGCATTCTCATCTGTTGATATTAGCCTTTTTTTTTTTTACAGCACATTAGTTTACACAAATGTGCAGCCACTCAGGTGGTAATTGCAGTCCATCTGTTTTTAATGACGATCCCTGCCGGAGCGTAGAGGCCCTGGCTGGAGGCCCACCTCTCACCCCTCGGGCGGCCCGCCGACGGCTGGCGCTTCGCGTGGCGGCCGTGATGTCAGCGCCT